TGTCCAGCCGCATGGTCCCTATTGTGGCTGGGCGTCCTTGTTTTCCTGCATGCTTGTACTCCTGAGTCTTGTTGTTTGAGGCTTCTGTTTCTTCCGACAATCTACAGCTTTATGGCCCGCTTCTCAGCAATATAAACACAAGTTTTGTTCAAACCGTCGCTTCCTTTCCTCAGCTGTGAGGAGTTTGAAACGTACCGCATCAATTTGCATGGGTTTAGGATCTGTGGAGTGATTCTCTGGACCTTTTGAAAATGTAGCAAATGCTCCATCATTTCTCCAACCTGATCGTCTTTCTTGTCGTAATTCAAAGAGGCGGTTGTCACAAATAATTGCCTGAGATATAAGTTCTTCTAAAGTATCCGCCTTAGGCATGGTGATCAATAAGTTCTTGACATCATCTCTCAGTTCATATCGAAATCGTGTCATGAATGCCTTATCATTCCAATCAAGATCACATGTAAGCTGTTGAAATTCTGCAGCATAGATTGCAGCAGAACGTGATCCTTGTCGCAGATTTTGTATCTTTCTTTCAGCCACTCTTTCTCGATCGCTATCTCCAAACGCAGCAGTAAGTCTCTCTATGAAAGCCTCTAGGTCGTACAATATTGGAGAATCCTTCTCCAATAGTGGAGCAAACCAAGAGCGAGCATTTCCTGATAGAAGAGCACCTATGAAAGCAACCTGGGTAAATCCATTCGGATAACGAGAAGGGTATAGGCGTAGGTAAAGCCGTACTTGTTGCACAAAACCTCGGAAGTTAGCTCTTGTTCCGTCAAACTTGTCTGGCATACTCGCTTTTGGTTCTTTCGTACTAATCCTTGAAGTATCCATAGGGGTCGTATGTGACACATGTCTTGCTTCTCTCAATCGAATAATCTCTTGTTGTAGGCTATGAATTTTGCGTCTAGCTTCTTCGGTCACTAGATCAATTTGAGGTTCTTTACTTGGATTGCGAAGAAATGTAATCTCCTTTCGTACACTATTCATAAGAGCTTGAAGATCTGCAAGAGTTGCCACTCTATTGTCTATTTGTGGAGATGCACTGTCTATGACCTGTTCTACTTCCATATTTAGAAAATAGATGGATTAAAATTTTGAGAGAAGAAGAAATTGCTAAGTCTCTTGGAGAAAATTGTAGCACTACCTGTCACTAAAACCTACTCGGAGAAAAGGAAAAAAAAAACACTAAACGATTTCAGTTTTAGAGGAGGGTAATCCGCAACCTCTAAAAATGCCTCAATGCTTTCGAGAAGAGGGGTAATCTGCACTCTATCAAGAAGGCAAAGCTCTGAAATCGATGTTAATTGTCTTTTCTACTAGCTATGCTAAACAAAAAGAAGGAATTAATATCAGTCCAAGAGAGGGTAATCCGCAACCCTTAGAACGCTCAAGTATCTCCAAGGAAAGGGGTAGTCCACTCTCTGCCTCAAAGAACTAAGCTCTGATATTGTGATTGAGAAAATATCAGTTTAGAGGAAGGTAATCCGCAACCCCTAAAGCGCTAGAATACCTTCAAGAAGAGGGGTAATCCGCTCTCAAACAAGAAGGATTCAGCTCTGATATTAAGATAAAGGTAGTCTCGACAAACTGTCACAGACACAAAATACAGACTTGAAATCTAACAAGAAGTTCAAGAAGAAGTGGTAGAACTAGATTAAACAGATGAGTACAAGAACAACACCAGAAAGGTGAGCTAGAACTCCAAGAGATGTGTTGTCGAGACTGAAGAACTCTTCAGCCTCGACTCCTATATATACTACTGGCCAATGGTTCTAAGGAAGCGCATCAAGAAGCTTCCCAAGAACTATGAAGCTTCTCGAGCAACTACCCAAGAGCTAGGAAGCTTCTTAAGTAACTTCTTAGAATCTACTAGAATATTCTAAGAATCTTCTAGAGCCTTCTAAGGGAATCTTTAGGGAATCTTCAAAGAATCTTTAGGGAATCTTTGAAGAATATTCTAAGAGAATATTCAAAGAATCTTCTGGAAGTTTCTAAAGACTTCTTTCTAGAAGGTTCTAGAAACTTGTCTCTAAAAAGGTCTAAGGACTATGTCCCTAACAGTATCATGTTTGTGAGTTTGTAGACACTGAATTAAATATTTGTATTGTCATGTAGTATTGTTCAAAGATATTAAGAATATATCTACATACGCCATCATCTACCAACACCACAATCTATCATCTGCCATCACAATTTTTGTTATTGCCACCACAATCCACCATCCACTCAATATATTTTTTAGTTCTTATTATTTCAATTAAAATTTTATTTATATTTCTTTTGAAAAAAATATATATAAGAGTTGTGGTTACAATAGCAAAAATTGTAATGATTTGTGGTAGATGATTGTTTTCCTCCCTTGTTCCTTGCCCCAAATTCTCCCCCATCTCCATTTCTATTTTTCATTTCTTATCTTCAAGTGTTCCTTGCAAACAATCACCATAAACTTGCACAATTTGTCTTCAATTCTTCCAATTCCCCTACATCATAATGTATTGACTAGTTTCATTTTCACATTCCAATCTAAGATGTCATGACTCCTTGGCCCACATTACAAATGTCTCCTACACCTCCTCTAAGTTTATCAAGATTTTTATGTGAGCTTATAATAGAGATCAAGCACAATGGCAGTTATAATGGTGGTTAACTAAGCAGAGCTTGAATAGCCTTAACAAACACTTCTCCCTATCCCACATTCCAAAAAATGAGAGAATGGCTTGACAATAGTAAGGCCATTGCCTTGGGCTAGAAATAGTTACTAAACTCTTATGATTCATTGCAACGTTATGCATATTGGAACAATACCAATCCTCTTTTTGAGTTATCCGCCACCAAAAATTGGCAGGAGGACTCACAATCCTTGACAACTAACTCACCATATAATACTTGGCAACCCATATGGACGATGGACAAAATCAATTATGGGATAGCAAGGGAGGTGTGGTTTTAACAACTCCCTATATATATATATATATATTATACTATAATTAAAATAATATTAGCATTTGGTAAGCAAACTACAATGAAAGCAAGCACTTTTTTTTTTTTTTTTTTTTTTGTTTATACAACTTAATGTTTGATACATACAAAAAACTTAACAATTTTTTTAATGTGCATTCTATGGCCACATATGTAAATACTATTATTCAATGTAAGTGTTTCTATTGTATTCTTGTGATAAAAATTTCTTGCACAATTTGTTATTACATAAGAATGTGTTTTTTCAGCATGTTCATATATTTTGACTTGTTCATTCACTTTATAATATTTCAAACTAATTTTCCTTTTTCAAAACTATCCCATGTATGCATAGAATATTTAAAAAGGTGTGCTGGACTGTAAATTTCTACAAAAGGCACTTTAAACTTCGACTTTATAATGCACAATTCCAAAGTCAGACTAAAATTGCAAAAGTCACCATTATTTTGATTCAATGTTAGCATGTTTGATGCAGTTTAAAATTTCAAAACTAAGTTACTGTTTTAATGCATAACAATTTCCAGTGTGAATGTATCAAATTTTGTTACGTTTTATTAAAATTATTAAATACCTCTGTATGTTTATCCACCCACCCATCCATCCACTCATCCATCCATCTATTCTCCGGAGAATTCATCCATCCATCCATCTATTTAATCATCCATCTTTCTATCTGTTCTCCCACGCATCCATCCATCTACCCATTCATCCAAGATCACAATGTCTTGCCTCCAATGCTTTTGTACAATGCAAGTATGAAGGTTCCAGAAGCTGGGAAGATTATATTTATCATCATTGCTAAAGCTCACAATTTTAACCTCCATGGAAAATATATATACATACAAAAGAAAAAAAAAATTAATATATAAAAAAAAAACAAAAAGAAAAAAAAGAGAAGACTTAAATGACTTGCTGGATGTGATGGCAGAGCCTTTTGTCATACAATGTTAGGTACCCATTTTTGGATTTGATTTTGTCGTTTTCAAGAATAATACAATAATGCATTCGTACATTTTTAAAAGAATAAAGTACTGAAGAAACACCTAAATGGGTTCCTATTTCTGTGGATAATTGTTTAGTTTTTGAACTAATGTTTGGCCAAGAGCATAGTAATGAAGGGTAGCTTTCTTCTGGTGTTAGAGGAAGATTGTGTAAATGGCTTCTTTTTTATTGTCCTTTTGAAAAATGGATAGAATGAAATGCTATAATCTTCACAAGCCGTTAGAGACAATTTATTTTTCAGAAATATTTCCATAAAACATTCTTGCAATGCATCTCATAAACATCCTTTTTTCTTTTTTCTTTTTTACTTCTCTTTCTTTTTGTAAATGTAGATTGATTGCAATGTGAAATTAAAAGCAACGTTTTCACTTTATTTTTTGGTTTTTTTTGTAAAATTAATGTTCAATATGGAATACTTCTTCAACACAAACCAATTTTCAATGATGCAACACCATGATTTTTGTGTATATACATACACTCACACATGAAAAAGATCTAATTGAATTTGAATTTTACTTCATATAATATACTCATCCTACATTTATTTAATAAAAACATATCAATATTAGTTAAAATGAGTGCTAAGCAATTGGAAAGTATAATTTCCTCATGTAGAACAAATTTTGTATTCAAATCTTAATCAAGAGAGTGCAAACTGGGTCATGCATATGTTGTTGCAAATTGTGCCTAAAACTCAATTGACATAGCTCAGCATACAACATTTTTAGAGCATAAAACAGACGATTCCACAAAGCATCCAAGACAGAATGAAAAGCTTGAACAAATTCACCACAAAATGCAAATCTGATCAATGCCCACAACTGTCAGGAAAGCAGGTGATCTTTCTCTCAAACCTTGAAACCAGAACATGACGCAGCGTTCTGACATCAATATCGACTTCACTTTCATTTACGTAAAAGAAACAACACTTCTGCAGATAAAAAAAATGCTTATTGAGACTTTCTAGAAGACTAGAGACCTACACCAAGTGAGTGAAAATCCTGGACACCTCAACAGCCATAGGCCGTCAGGACTCGGGTGAAGTCGCTGCAGGCGAAGGAGCCATCAGGCAATCCCGGAGCAGAGCTCCTGAGCGAAGAGCTAGTAGTGTCCTGATCGATGGACTTCACGCATTCCAGAATGCGTAATTGACTATCTGCGCACTTCAACCTGCGCGATTGACTACCGGTAGACAACGACTTCTCGCCGAAAATTGTCTAGCAATTCGCCTCGACCGGAAGCACCTGTGCACCCGCTTCTCCACGACGTTCGAGCCCAGTTTTGTTGCTCTTGGTTTCAACGTGTGATTCAACTCCTGCAAGCTGCGCATGGCCAGCCGTTTGTACACAAAAGTCCCTAATTAATTCCCGGACACAAATAAGTCTCGGTTGGACTTTTGGGGTCCGTTGGGTTTTGTTCAGTCCCAGACGCACCGTTTTGGGCCAGATACTTGTGGGCGAGGAGAACCCTGTAGGCCAGAATCTTAGAGTTGTTGAAGTTGTGGCGCTAATGCCGATTTCAGGTTGTGTAGGTGAGCTGGCCTGTGGAGCTCGATAATCAGAGGGGTTGTGCCAGCCCCGTCGTCAACATTATGCTGTACTGTGTGTCCAGCTCGGAGGAAGCGCTTCGAGCTTGTGGAGTGGATCGATCAGAGTCAACTCAGATTGGGATATAAAGATATACTGTACTGGGTGATGGGAACACGGTGCAGATTGTACAATGTTGAGTGGAGTGGGTGGCAAGTTCTGTTGATCGAGTCGGTATGAGTTATCTATTGTTAATACTTAGGAAGCGAGGAGGCGCAGTGAGTGAGTAATATCAGTTTGCAGGGCGAGGTGCCTGAGTAAGCAGAAGAAACTGGAGGAGTTTAGTAAGTTAGCTGTCCTTGCAATCGAAGGTCTACTATGGCTGGAGATCAGAGCAGCACAGCGAGAACTCTGGAGTACACGCCGACATGGGCACTTGCCACAGTGGCCTGCGTCTTCGTTATCATCTCCCTGGCAGTGGAGCGATCCCTGCACTCTCTTGGTCATGTAAATCTCGATCGTCTCTTTCACGATCCTGTGCCCCCGAGACCTTTATCTTTACAGGATGTGGTTGTCGGAAACTCTACCCAATCGAGGAAATACCAAATTTTTAGTATTCACTTCACAGTCAGGTAGTCGATCAATGACGTTGATTTTTATTCGTGATTGCAGTATCTGCGAGAGACCAAGCGGAAACCACTGTTCGCAGCGCTGCAGAGATTGAAAGATGGTGAGTTCACTGCCTACACCAAGGTCAAAGTTCGTAAAGAGGCGGTTCATATTGGAAACGTGAGTAGGTTGCAGAGCTAATGAACAACAGAGGTAGACGTGGACAGCAGCACACGTTTCCGCTTAAAGATCAAACTGATCTTCCGTGGATTTTAAACCAGCAAGCACGTCTTTTTCGATGAAACTAGGACCGCACAAAGTTTCCTGTTCCATGATTTTTTTGTTTCTTTTTTTTTTTTGTTTGCGTCTCGCTGCTACCTGATTGCTGGAGTTCAGCTCTATCTTAAAGATAACGTTTTCGTGAATTAATGATCGACCACGTTCGATTGCAGAGCTGATGTTGATGGGATTCATTTCCCTGACGATCACGATACTACAAGATCCGGTGTCGAAGATTTGCGTTCCAATTTCCGCTTACAACCAATGGACTCCTTGCAAAATCTCAAGCCGACAAAGCACAGCAAAGACGACTACCCCGCCATCGCGAGTCTCGGATGATGACCAACCAGAACATCGCCGAAGGCTTCTGGCATCGGCATCATCCACCAGCTCCACATGCAGTGCGGTAAAAGAGAATTCACTCTTGACACAAGTTCCATCAAGAGAAACAACATCGCTTAGGTAGCTAAGAGTCGAACGCATTTCTCTCAACGTAACTGACTTTGTGGTCCTCCGCTGATTTTCTTGTGGGGACGGTCACCAAAACAGGGATACGAGCCATTCGTCTCGCCAGCCACTCTCCACCAGCTTCACATTTTCATCCTCGTCTTGGCTCTGGTCCATGTTGCATACTCGTGCTTAACCATGCTACTTGCTCTTATCAAAGTAAGTGTCTACCAATCTCAATATCCAATTTCAACGACACAATTCCATGTACACAGTCTCTGTAAATTATGAACTGACGTATTTGCATCTCATTTCATGGTAGGTGTACCGCTGGCGAAAGTGGGAGAACGAAGCTCATGAAGCAGTAAAACAAGCAACTACTGCAGGTATGCACATTCAACTACAATTTACAATTCATTTGATAAATTCATTTCCTGTTTATGTGCTCCTGTTCATGTGAGCACAGTATTTTCAATTTGTTCAAAATGATCGACACCCACGTGAACTGTTCTCAGAGCTCCTGCAAAGCATTAAGTATACGCGCCAGTCGACATTTGTGCGGTACCACACGTCGAAGCCGTGGAGCAGATCAAGATTTATTGTGTGGATGGTAACACCTCTTATCATTTAACTTCTGCCGAATTTAGGTTACAACTGCCATTGATTTCCTGATATTCAGGTAGATCATTGAACTGTGGCACCGACAATTTTAAGTGCTACCTGATTACTGCAGCATCGCTAACAATCTTCTCGGGAACACTCTTTTTCGCATTCCCAGGTTTGCTTCTTCCAGCAACTGTACATTCCTCGCGCAGACTACCTGGCCCTTCGCCTCAGTTTCATCACCGTAAGTGTTCCCGAAACAAGATCTGAGTCGATGTCTAATTGGGGTTCGGTGCTCAATACTGCTCAAGGGTGTGTCATGGCGTTTTGCAGACACACAACCTCAAAGAATTGTATGACTTTCACGCGTACATGGTTCGCAGCATGGAGGACGAATTTGAAACCATTGTAGGCATAAGGTAACGGATGTCTATTCATTTTCTATCGCTGTCATAAAATTCAGTTGAACTCACCTGGTAGATTGTGGTCGAAATCTTGACTCACATACTTTAACTCTTCACTGTTTGCAGCTCTTGGCTATGGGCATTTTTCGTGGTCCTATGGGTGTTCAATATTGACGGTGAGGATAATGGAGTTCATCGCCCCAACCTTTAAATTCTCTGCTGTAACATATCGCTCGCCTTGTCATTCGAATCTCGCTTGATCTCGGTTACAAACTGAACCAGGGTCGTTGTAATTAAATGTGACCGCAGGAAGCCAGTTGTACTTTTGGATGTCGATTATCCCAGTTTTGGTGAGTACGTCTGACTAAGCTGCACTTAAATATGCAATGTTTCTCTCTCGCGTATATTATCCATTAAAAAGATCTTAAAAATTAGATTGTCATGTTCAGCGGTGAGATGTCAACTAATTTGTTGTCATGGATCGATAGGTAATTTTATGCGTAGGGACGAAGCTGCAGCATGTAGTGGCAACCCTAGCACTGGAGAATACAGGAGTTCCAGCCGCCTTGGTGGGCGTTTTGCTGCAGCCGCGAGACCAGCTCTTTTGGTTTAACCGGCCGAAATTACTGCTCTCCAGCATCCACTGGGTCCTATTCGATATTTCCTTCGAGTTCGCCACCTTCATCTGGCATGTGGTACATTCCCAGCCCTCTGAACTTTTACTCGCCTTCGTCCTACTCGTGTCTTACTTAGAGCAGTGATTCAGCAGATTCATTCTGCACCATTCAGTTCTTGGTTGCTTCTACTCAGCTCGCTGATAGTACTCACTCCGAGTTTTCGGCTGCAGTGGCAGTTCGGGTACGATACCTGCCTGTTGGAGAATAACAAGGGCTACATCTTCGGCCGCCTTGCAATGGGGTATGGTATTCTTAACCTCACCTTCGAATCATCTGATCAACCTTAGAATGCCTGAGCATCCTCTATGCCCCCAGTGATTGAATGCTACCAACAACCATGTCTTGATTTGCTGCATGTGGTTGCGTAGGTTTGGAATTTTACTATTCTCCAGCTACAGCACGCTGCCGCTCTACGCCCTAGTGACTCAGATGGGCACCAGTTACAAGAAAGCTGTGCTTTCGAAGCATGTGGAGCGAGTGCTGCGACAATGGCACAAGGACGCTAAGCAGAGGCTCAAGGTGAACGCCATGGCACAGGCAACCGAAGCACCGGCTGATGGCACTGCTCCAAGTAGCAGCAGTTTAGTAGTCCATTTTAAGTCGCGCCTGACTCAGCGAATTGATGCAACTCGACGCTCGCCTTTGTCGAGTCCTAGGAACGGGTTGCCAACACCAGGAGCGCAGGTCAAGATGGAAGAAGGGACACTGTCAAGGTAATTACAATAATAACCATGATGAGATCAAACGAATAGAAAAAGAAAACTCTTACCCATTTTCTGACGAGTGAATAACATGAGACCCTGTTAATTCATGGCAGTCCACATGAGACAACGCTTCCCAGAAGTCCCAAGTCACCAACTACAGCGCAGAGTATATGGAAGCACCGCGTACGAACAGAACCTTCGATGGAGAAAACTGGAATGCCTTCCACACCAAATACCGAAACGTCAGCTTCGACCTCAAACGCAAATCTGGACAAATTCGCATCGCTCCATCCTGCCTTCAAGAGCCGCGCACTGCAACGTCAAAGCTCCCTTCCGATTCATGAGATCCGCCATTCATAGGCATCCAGCTTCGATTACACCTCTCGCTCCTCCATTGTCTTCGAACGAGGAAACTCGATTGAAGAGATAAGCAATTTGAACGCCCATACTGTAAAGTTCGTTCCCACTTGAAGAACAGAGGTGGTCGCGTGAACTGACAAGCAAAGCAGCGTGCCCAGCATAGACAGTTCTTGCCAAAAGTAACATGACGTGTGCTGTCACATACAAAATGTTAGGCTTGAATCTATTCGCACTAAAACTCTGTCGTTTCTCTTCCAGTAGTTCAATCTGCCAGAACCAGCATATCTACTGACCTTAACGAGGTACAACAGGCGGAATATTCAGATGTACAATCAGGGGAAAGCTGTACGACAACGATCGAGAATAGTCACTGACATGCCATGCTAAGGAAGCATTGTAAGTGCAAGGCATGGGTAATCACATATCTGACACAATTTTCAAATAATGACAAGAATAATCTGTAGGAATTTTCATGAATACTTTGGAGACGTACGATTGGCAGACAGCCTTATATACCGTGAACAAATTGCAGAGAGCTATGTATTCCACTCAACAGTACATCAAAAGGAAATGAAGGAAAAAGAATTCCACATAAATGTGTCGTTGGAACATGCATAGTGATAGTATGTGAGCCCGTTCGTCCAATCAACATGAACTTTCATGCACTGAATAACAGATAGAACTACTTCAGCATGTTCTCCGCTCTGCAGAGGAGCAATTGTTCAATATGACAAGTAAAGGAACCTTTCTAAATCACCATCACAAAAGCAAGTTAACAAAACAAAATTTTAAAAACAAAAATCGCTTGAATACGCATTAGGTTTGTCGGACCTAGTAAAGGTATTTCAAATGAAGAATGTTTCAAAATTATATCGATAATAGAACCAAACAGTACAGCAATAATTCAGAGAATGCAACAGTGCACATTTATTTACATTTGTGGCAAAACAACGAAACCTCGTGAGGAGTTCAAGACGGCCATATACCGTCAAGCGCCCTGCTGAACCAATTACAAATTACTGAAGCCTAACTTCAATACCACCACTACTGAATCTACATCTATCTAAGATGTACCAAAAAAAACCTGTCGAATCTTGCAGACTGGTGACCAGCCTAAATGATTACAAATGAAAATAGAAGAGATCCAAGTATACAAAATCAACACTCTACACAAATAGAGAACCCATAAGGAGCTGGAAACAGAGGTAGAGGCTAAGGCTTACTGTATACCTTAATTCGTGTCAGGAATCAGAGTCGGAAAACCTAACCACTGCAGTTCGAGGAGAAGATTGAGGAAGGGCATATTTTACAACTCCAGAGGAGTTTTCAATAAGACCAGCTATACCAGCTGCGGCAGTTTGGGCATTTGAAGGTAAGAAGAGATCGTGCTTCTGATCCTTGTAAGCACTCCATACCTGATAATTCCGAAACAACTCATTTGTCAACAGTTTCAACAATCCAACAATCATAAAACAACAAGCACGTCACCTGAACCAGAGTAGAACGACACTTTTTAGTTTCGAATGCTTAAGGTGCCCATGCTCGAAATGTTAGCAAAACCTAGACAGAGATAGAAAGAGATCGTACATCAGATGCAGATAAAATAGTTTGAACTCTAGCAGAGTGCCCACCCTCCGCAGCAAAGGCCTGCAAAACCTGCACATCAACCCCATCCAGACCCTCTTAGAGTATGCTGAACATCCACAACAATGCCCTTTAAAACGCTTGCAAGAGAAGCTTAAGTAGCTAACACTACAGAAGAACATGTAAATGGCAAGTAACTCATAATTACAGCACTCCACATGCTGTATTTTTTTACCATACATTTCAGCAACATTTCCAGATAAAATTACATAGGTGTATAATAGCATTCTAGAAAATAGGTGCTCCTATAAAATCACTAACATAAGAAATACTTCGATTAAGGTCGTCCACACATAAAAGACTAGCATGGAGTAACCTTTTAGATCTCACATACAGATCAACCAGACTAGATGTAAAAGGTTAAGAAAGGAAGTTACAGTTCAACATACCTCAACGGCCAAAACACGACCTATTGAAGCTTCATTTTCATTCCACTTCATTTGAGAACATAAACCATTTCTTCCTCCAGCCCGCCAGTCCAAAATACCAAGCAAAACCTCCACCAAACCAACCCTGCACATCAACAAGAAACTTACGATGCATCCCAACTTGAGGACCGGATATTCTCATAGCCCAGCACCCAGCCCAAAGTCGTGGTTTAATTAATGAGGACATTCATTCAATCTACTTACATCAAATCCCATACACTTGCTAAACAAGCACCTACGTAATTTAGCATAACAGGATATGTAAGAAGATACTCACTTCAGTCCTTGAGCTACAAGTGCATCACGAGCGCGATTGCCTGCGGCAACTACTCTCTTGAGAGTTTCAAGTGCCAGCACACTGCCTCCTTGCCATCCTATGGCCTTCATCAAAAGTGATACAATCTGGGGGGAGCCCATTCCAGGTGTAGCCATAGCCTCTGCACATGCTGTAGAGGCAGCCAACTGATGCAATACCCTCAAGCAGCTTAACCGAACCTGTTCTTGAGGAGTTTGACTCCCCAACAAGACTTCTCCATCCTCAGCTCCCCAAAGAATTTCCCCACCTAGATTCTCACTTTTAGCTAAAACTTGCTGAGAGGAAGCTGTCGAGACTATACGATTCTCGTTAGCCATAGCTGCAACCAGCTTTGGTACGTAACCTAAATGAGCTACATGGTCAGCAAGAAGGGGCTGAACACGTAAGAGTGACACTAGAGCTGCAGAGAGTAATAATGGGAGTTGTGTGTCCACTTGAGACCCGCCCCTTGCATGCGTAGCTGCCGCCGCTGTCACATATTGGTCTAGCAACCCTTCTAAGAACCGCTTAGGGTTTCTAAGAGGGAATTTTGGATCTTTCAGGAACAAGCGGACATACACTCCACCAACCTGAGGATAAAAAGTACAAAACAATGAAGCAAATAACATGGAGGATACGAAAAAAAAGAAAATTATATCAATCACCAATGAACCCACGAGAGTAAGTCTACGACATTAAAGACAGTTTACGAAATGTCAACTTTGGCATTCTTAAATACAGAAAAGCACGATAAAAAAATGTGCAGACCTGAGGTTCATCATTGACGACTTGCTGCCCAGATGAATTCTCAGGAAGATCCCACTCAACCACTTTTCCCTTGGTTTGTTCTCTATACAGATCAGCTGCCATGGTTGCCAGCTGTGCACCAAGTGAAGCAGCCATCGCGGGGCTCCATACAAGCTCTGGAGTCTCGCTGCTTTGTTCCAAGGCTGCCACTACTGCATCCCCTGGTCCATCACGTATAGCAGAAACCAACCCATCTGGAAGGAACCGTGCCACAGTTATGGCTACTCGAGGTCCATGCATCGGTTGTCCCACAAGCTTTCCTAATAACGACGCCGTAGATATCCTTGTCTGAACGGATACTTCTTCTACAATATAAGAAAAGCGAAAAATAAATTAATTGATAAAAAAAAAATTAATAATGCTGTCGGGAACATGACAATGACAGGTCCAAATTGGGAACAGAAAGACCCAGTCTGAGCAAGAGTCTAAAACGAGTACCCTGGCAACTTAACAGTTCTAGAGACTACATTAGGAAAACATAATAGCTCTTAACGTATCATCAAAACTTGTCCGTGCACTTAGGTAATACACATAGGCCAAGAGCAGCACAAATTTTCCTTCGCACTAGTATATAATAGACACACTTGATTAAATCCCGTTAAAGAAAACGGACTCTAATAGCATATTGAATGATAGCTTGGTTTCAAATCGATTTATAACAAACCTTGACCAGGCAGAATCAGCTGAAGAATGTATACCACTCCCCCATGCTTGGCAGCCGCCCAAGCAAGTTCAGAAGTACTGGCAAGTGAATACAGAACTCTTAAAGCGCCTGGCCTGCAAGCAGGAGCGCAATGCAACAGCTGGAGGAGGAGAAGTAATGCAGAACGATCAGATGCCAAAGCTTCCACACACGATGTGTGCATGGTGAGCTTTGCAAGAACATTGAGGCAGATTTGTGGTACTTGATCGCTGGAGGGTCCAGTATCCAATAAACAACTCAGCAAAGGTGCTAATCGTTCTTTTGAGGAGAAAACTGATGTCAACTCCGAGTTTGCATTCAGGACATTCTGCTAAAACAAAAACGATGTCATAAGCCGTATCGTCTGATCCGAGTTCAAATCGTTCCAAGTCTATACAGTAAATCTTGAATTCAATTTAGTTACATTTCTCGAAGCTATACTACTTAAAACACTAGATTCCAGAAAACGACCCCCTAAAGCTCCAAGCAGCAACAACTAAGAATAAAAATAAAAGTAAAGCACCACAAGAATGTAGACAGTGCTTAAAAAGAGTTTGAAATTCAGATTCAGACCTGCAAAGCTGTGAGCGCCATGGTGAGGTTCTTGACAAGAGTCTTTCCAGGTGACTCGTGAGAACTTGAACTGACATCAGGAGAAACTTCTGAAGAAACAACTTCTTTTGTCTCCTCCCCCTCCTCTGTTGGAGCTTCAACACCAAACTGGTACTCGATCGGAACTGGAGGTGTCGGGTTTTCACTTAATCCAGCTTCTGGCTGAGTTTGAGAAATAGGTTCAGACTCAGGGAGAGCTTCAACGTCTGGTAATTTACGTCTCTCTTCCATAATTTTACTAATGAAGTCTACTAAAGCCCCACAAAAGTACTGCTCATTTGTGATTTCCGAATCTGGCTGCTCATTGTAGACTCGCAAGTACACATCACCAACATGTAATTCATTAATAAGAGCTTTGTATTTGAAGTCCTGCGCTGCTTGCATTTCATATGTGCCATCCGAGAGCCGAGACATACGCTGATTCTCAACAAAGTTCATCAGTTCAGCCCTCATTGCTGAATTCCAGATAATCTGCACAACAATCATTTTTCAAAAAAAGAAAAGAAAAGAAAAACACAAACAAACAAACAAACAAACAAAATACAGGTAGATAGTGTCCTGTTGGACCAAATTTATGCAGTTAGGAACTTCTCGCAACAGATATTGAGTGGAGTAAGGCAAGGAAGGAGATGAAGCAAAGCCAAAGACTTGAATGCTTCCAATAAACTAACTAAAAATTGCTAAATAAACAGCATAATACTTTGACCCTTCACTAATATTGACCTTCTATTCTTCATAGTTCTTACTTGCAATATAGATTCCCTGGTAATGATAAGAAATTATAAAATTTAAAAGAAGAGCTCAACCACAGGCGTGAAAGTAATAGAATTCAGCGGACCTGTGCAGATTCAACATTAGAGTTGAGGTTTCGAAGCAGGTCTCTGGGGGATTCGTTACCCAACATGGCTGCAAGTTTTGGGGTTAGCATATTCCGCAATGATTTGGCGGCAATTTCGTTGGAAGGGGTCTCATCATCCAGCAGACCAGATAATCTAGCTAATGCACGAACCGCAAGGATCGCATGTATATTCTTAGACGTTTGAATACTATTCCCGATCTGAGGTCCAGTAGCAGAGCTGTTCTCCGCTGTGGAGTCATATTGCAAAAGAAGAGGTATCAGGTACCTGAAACAAGCAGTAATGAACATTAAAACATACTCATCTTATAATTAGCAGGACCCTGTACTCTTAGTATATTAATTACGCAAAGAGACAACTTACCAACTCTAGTTCTAAAATTGGTTGTGCCAACAAGCATTGAGAACATTAGACTTCGTAAAATTAATATACCAAAATTTGATAAGTGCAACTGCATCAATAATATTAATGAAATCACAAAAAAAAAACACACACACACACACACACACACAATTAGCAAATACTTCACAATATCGATTAAAATGGAACAAAGCACATGATTAACACGGCAACTGGACTGACCATATAATTCCAGCCTTCAAAAGTGCATCCTGAAGATTCGATGAGGCTGCTAGATGAGCGGCAGTTTTTAAAGCAGCTTCAACTGCTGTTGTTGCCAACTCTAGTTCGCAACAGTGTACTACATCAATTGTGAATCCTGTAAGCTGTTGCACCTCTCGACGAGCACTTGTGAATGTACTCAATCCTGGAACACAATCAAAACATGTAGAGTTACAACTGCCGATCACCTCGGGAGATGTAAAACAAATCCGCGGGTCTGTGAGAAAGACTAAGAACAAGATCACCATACTGCGAAGCAGTCAACGACATTTTTCAACATCGATTCTGGACTGATCTATAACCTAACCAAGAATATCCCAAACATTTTCTAAGCTTTCAAAACATGAAATATCCCTAAAAACGAGAGCACTTTACCTGCAAAAGTGCGCATAATATTGCTGACAATAACAGCAGCTGGATCTGTTGAAGGCGTTGTCCTTTGCACAACACTCATACATCGAGCAAGTAAAGAGGCCAACAAAGATATACCTTCGTCGCGTACCAACTCTTCCCCATTCAAAGCAGACGAACAACACCTGCAGACACAAATTATATATAGATCCAATTATATTACTACAAGGCTACGTTAAATATCATGAAGTACAAAACAATGGACGAAGAGAAAAAAGAATACTAACACTTACGTAAGCCAAATTAGTTCGGTGGCTGCTTCAAGGAGTGGAGCTCGTTCCGGGGAAAGGAAAGTGTTGTCGTCGCGATCTATTGTAATCACGTTCAGCAGCAGTGGATATCCGGCATATTTAAAAGGCTCTAAGACAGCTCCATACCTACCGAAAAGAATGCATTGTGCTTTCAACAAAAGCTGAAGCCGCCATGGCTGAGGACCTTGCAGACCCTGTAATGTGGCCTGATTCATGCAAAGTGTTACTTTTGCTTGAACATTAAAAATTGTTCATTAACAAAAAGTTCCTTGAGATGTATAATTTCAAAAGATTCAAATGGCATATCAAAAGCACAACTCTTGAATGTAAGCGACTCTTGCGCAAAGTTAAACTGTTATTGAGAAATAGAAACAATGGCTCTGCATTCACCTGCAATCGCTCGTAGGCCTTCTGAACAGCCAAAAACTTATCTCTGCCTTGTGGGTTCTTGTCTGGATGATATCTCATGGCCAACCTCCGGTATTGGCGCTTGAGAATATCCTCATCAACACGCCCAAATATCTTAACAGTGTTTGTCTTACCTTCCTCTCCACCCTCACCATTCTCACCACTAGTTTCAGCTTCATCCGAAGAAATTTCCAGGATGGAACAAGCCTCTTCTTCAGACAGATCTAAAGGTCGCCTAGTGACCTCTTCTCTCCACATAGCCAGCAGAGATTGGAGGAATTCGACATGTTCCACAATCGGCCAAAATGGAAAGCGGATCTGATCACATAGGTTGCGTAGATAATAGCGGTGGCACCACATCTCATCTTGAAGCTCAGGATAGGTTACAGGTGGCATAGGTGCATACTCGTACAGAGCATGACAATGCTGTGGGAGCTTTTGAGGAAAGTCTCCAAGATGTTTAAAGACCTGATGTTTGAGTTACGTTCAACACGAAAGCTGTAGTTCATCAGAACCTAGAAAAACTGTTCCTAAATCGATTTTTATGTTGAGAGTAAAATCAACCATAACATACTACAGCAGCTTCATCCGTCGAATAAAACCCTCAAACACCCAGTCGATCACACAATTTCAAAATCACACCACAAAAGAAACAGATTTTACACCACAGAACTTCAAGACAGAAACAGAAAGATGGAGATAAACCTGGTCGATAAGACGTTCTCCGCGCATCTTATGAGTCCAAATGATCTCTGGGGTATCAGAATCGGCAACTAGTCCAGCCGCAAATGCAGATGGACCACTTCTCTCCAAAACGTACAACAGACTCTCTGGTAAAAGACCCCCTAATACACTCCTTTTAGACAATGGAAGTGAGGACGACATGGCTGCATCAGCACCCCCATGAAATGCCTGGTAAGTATGGGTAGCAGAAAAAAGCTGTGCAACAGAATCCAAGTTTGAGCCACCGTACGCCAGAGCAAAATAATAGGCGCCAGTATTGTACAGGCGTGCCATTGACTTGGGATTTCTAGTTAGTATTGCCTTCAGCAATGATGCTGCATTTTCTACAAGGGCAGGCTCCCCAGTTAGCATCGCCTGCAAATCAAAATATGTGCATCAGCATGTCTATGTTAGTTGCACTTTTGATCATTATCAGACCATTTCCAGACCTAGAGGATCAATCAACAGTATCAAATGGCTCTCAACGTTCTTTAAAACAGGAAACCATCAATACCAAAAAACACGAAATCAGGTGAAGGAACCTTACCTGGGCAATATGATTCAAGCACCGAGGGCTGGTAAGGATGCGTTTCACACGAGGAGTTGGTATAATAAGCTCTCCAGCGTCATCTAAGTCTGAATGAACGGCAACCATGCTGTGCAAGATAGACAGCGCCACTTCTCCCACCTGCAAACCAACAAGTTCTGCTTCAAAACTCAATGTTTGATATTTCTGTTTGATGTTTCTATTTCTGACAGGTAATGATCCTCTGCTATAAAATTTAAAAATTAAAAACTTGATATGAACTAAAAGTTGCACATCAAGATAAAGTCATTGAAATATCCCGCCCAATGGCTTCGTTAATCTTTCCTCGCCGCACAATTAACCAAAATAACCTCCAAAGCTCTTTTAGATTTTTTAGTGTTTGTTCCCAAAAACATTATAATTACTATCTCACGATTTCAACCAGAGGTAGCCACATTAGACAGTATGAGATATCTTATGAAGTTACGTAATGGCAAGTACTCAACAACAACGCACCTGCACAGGAGACAATAATGCTACCCCACTTCCAAGCGCCCACCGTAACTCTCGAATATCCCGTAGACGTTTCCACTCCGTCATGCCATGTGCCCAACACTTCGAATCCCAATCAATCTCTTGTTTCGACCAAGCACGCCTAATCACATCTTTCTCCACGGGCCCCACTTGGCCTCCGGCCTTGGTAACATAATGCCACTCCTTTTGAGGCTCGACAAAGGCACTGGCCGCAATTAAATTGGACTGAAGAGGTATTGCAGTTCTTTCTGATGCTTCATGCGCGGTAGTTAGGAGATCGACAACAAGAACGCAACCTCCAACAGCAACAGACAACTTCGCATTTGCCGGTTCCCTCACAAGAGCCTGTGCATCATAAAAGTAGATCAACAGACTAAAAATAATATTATAAGAATCTTGAGGCACTCGCAAATACTAGAACATCTTGGAAATGATTAGACATCAGTGACATAAATAAGACTTTTTAATGAAAAGTTAGCCAAGTGTCGTCCAAATAAATCAACAATAAACTTAGATATTGATCTATCATTACAAGGTAAGTACATAATAACGTAAGATCGAACAGAGCTCAGAAAACTTCCAGACTAAAAGCCATAGCAGTATGTGATGAACCTTTAACAAGAGGAGGCATCGATGTCGTAAAGTCCTGTCACTAGTACGATCCAGTAGCACAGTGATATGTGGAGTCCCATCAAAGGGTCCAATCGTTTGATGGTGTTGCTCATAAACTATAGTCATAGCTCTCGCACATAAGTCCCGAACCGAAGCTCCCCCTCCTCCTCCAAAACCATCCAAACCAGACATGTCACACCAGTCACCCCCAAGATCATCTCTAGCAGAGCCCTCAACAGTAAGTCCAATGTCAGCATCGCACAGGAATCGATGATACAAAGCCCGGAAAAACGCTACAGGATCACGAAGAGGAAAACGTTCAGCTCCACTCCCACTTTCCAAAAGAAGTCGGAGGTAGTACTGTCCCACACAAACCTCTTTTGAAAGGCTGGGATATTGCACTGCAAATTCTGCGTAATTCCAGGAAATTTGACTCGTGGACTCTTTCATAGAGGAAGTATCTCCTGCCACTGACACTCTGCCAAGCATGCTAGCATCCAAAGTCCGTTCTTTTTCCACATCTAAAAGATGAACTTCAGCTTGAAGAGCTTCCCGAAGTTCTTGGCGAGTCCGTTCGTTCCAGATCAGGTCAGCACGAGAGTGATCGAAGCCAAATTCACGCCACAATTCCGGCCAGTTGGAAAGCAAACAACCAGAACCAACAGTCATATTATCCGTTATTATCTGGGCAGGTGCGGGGACTGGCGGCTGAGAATCATTAATACTAGAAGCATCGCTACCGAGCATCTCACTTCCCGAATGCTGGTCTCCAATGGTGTATGGATTTGCAGTAATGGGTTGTGCCAAGGCAGGTAAAGCTTGTGAAGAACCAATTGCAGTTGGAGAAAAGACTTTTGTACTGGAAAGAACACTCTCCTCTGAAGACAAAGCAGTTGGTCCTTGAGAGCTTGGAAGATTCTGGTTCACGTTTAGTTGTGGTTGTTGTACATTCCCAACATCAAGAGCAGGGGCTGAGAATGGATTAGGTAAATTTGATGAAATGCTTGCGTTGCTTTTCCGAGGAAATCTCCCCTTCCGCCGTTGCAGAATTCTCTGTTGCTTTCTCTTGACTGAGGCATTGCTCGATGATAGACTTTGAGCATCAAATTCGTCTTCATCTGTAGACCGTGTCTGAAGGTATGCCACAAGCCCAGGAGGTAGCACTCTTGAGAGCAGATCAAGTGCCGGTTGATGTGCATCTGCCCACAAGGCAACAAGCTGCCGGCTGACTTCCCTCCGTTCCCCAGCGGATAAGAAAAATGCATGAACAAGATGCCGTAATAACGCTCCATCCCGCAACGAAGCATCCCTCATTGACTCGGCAGCAACAGCATCTTCCTCTGCAATTGCTCTCATGATGACAGCTATGGTTTCACGGACTCCTTCTGCAGGATGCCCAAACAGAGCAAACAACCGACGTTTCAAGCCAGCCACTTGCCGCAGCATCTCTACGAATGTAGGGTGGTCTGTAGTCTCACTTTGGGGTTCACATAACATTGCCTCAAGAACCTCAACTATTGCCATTGAGAGTAATGGAGACACAGTTGCTGGTTTCAAGCGATAGACAAGAATCATAATATGGCGCTGACTTCCAAACATTGCTGACTTTGCAAGGATGACACTTGCATGTTTCTCGGCCCTTGTCATTGCCAACAGATTATTTTCATCAGGCCCTCCTCCAATAAGCATCGCCACAAGTCCTGCAGCTTCCATGGCCACAGCCTCTGAACCCGACTGAAGCAGGCCCATTAATCGGCTGGCAGCAACAGACAGCGAAGCCACAAATGATGCTGCATACGAGGATCCCATCAAGCGACGCAAGCAAGCTATTAAACCCACCAGTGTGCCCGCTGCTTTAGGAGATGGCGGAGGAGGAGGATGGCTATCAGGTGGTAGGTTTAATGGACCAGGCAACATCGACAACAGTGTCATAAGAGTAACATCAGTGACTTCCATTTGCGGTTGTAAACCTTCGTAAGAAACACAAGCATTAAACTCTTGAACACGCCTCCAAAGACGAGCTTTGGATCCTGGAATAGACCCATTCTCAGCAACCGCATCCTTCGCAGCTGCTGAGAGATGCTTTACATGGAGAGCCTCCCCTTCCACATCAGCAAACAAACGATGGGGACCACTTACAGCAACTGGTGAGGGAGGTGGCATCACGCGCCCACAGGGAGGATCAAGTCGGTGGCCTGGCATGATTACTCTAGCCAGCATGGGAATAGGACGTTGACCCTGTTACAAGAGAATTATTAGCACAAGGTAAGCCATAGATTATGACTTCTCGTAAAATTTTGATCGAATCAAGAAGAAGCAGAATACAGAGTATAGAAGAGTAACACCCTTTAAAAAACAAAGATAGCACACTCACATCCGTGTCATAAGGAAGATAGATACTTCTGTTCATAGAAATGGATCATAAAGGAAACTTATAATATAGAATTTCCATGACGTAAGATGATCGACAACAGTTATCAAACTCACCTCCGTCTGTATGGTATCCCGAACTGCTGCCAAGAGACTATCCCGTGATGTGCTTGAATAGACCTACACAGATGAGAGACACCATTCGTTAGCACACAACGAGTCCTTCAGCTTAATTACTTAAATAAAACACTCGGTAAAAACCCAGGAACAAAAGATGGCACTGTCTTATTAGAGCAACTGTGTACAAATAAAACATATATGAACAAGAAAGACGTGGCGAGTAGTTAAAAGAACCACACATGAAGAGGGCAACCATCATTGAAGTCAATCGCAAACATTTGGGGTTCCTCAGCAAACCGAACAAGACCAGCCACCGCAGATAAAGATCGGACAATGACCGCCTGAAACAGAACCATTTGTTAGTTTCCAGAGAAATGCAGGAGCTGATTTTCTTTCTTTCTATTTTGTCTTTTCTTTATTTTCTTTTTCTTTTTTCTTTGGAGAAGGGCAAAGCTCTACCAAACACTCTAATAATGCATGTGCTGTAAGACAGTCATCTATCTATAATACACACTGTGAATTACATAAAAATAATAGACAAGTGAAATATGTTATAATAAGTCCAAAGATAGCTGAAACTAATTGACCGGAAATTGCAGATGACCCTCATCAAAGTGCATATTTACTGCTAACCTCATAATTGTTCTTCCGTCTTTCAACCAATGAACTTTTCGTCAGAACTAGCTGCCTTGACACAGATTCACTGGCTCCACCAAAATCTTTGATCCCATACAGGATCTGCAAAATACCAGATTGAGCTGTGCCATGTGCAGTTGTACGTATCCTTGTTACTGACCACTCTCCCACGGGTGATTCTTCGGCGCCTACTGAATTCTTCGCTGTTGTATGTCTTTATGGTCAGATCAATCTCGTAAAACTAATAATAATAATTTTTAAAAATGATGAAAACGATGCGCAGAAGCAAACAGCTCACTTTCATCTTGAGTTAAATACTGGAGTACAAGTACAAGATCGAAGCAATGCAAACAAGTGTTTCAGTGCACAAAAAAAACATAGACACTCACCTCTTTGCTTCAAGAATTCTTGAGCACTCATTGATTGTGTTGAGTCAACGTTAAGTGAAATCCCAACACACGATTTAGCCATTTTTGTCTGTCAGAAAGTCGAAAAGAGATCCAACGATTTAAACACCTACACCCTCAAATCATCTACAAAGACCACCTACAGAAAAACCGGAAAATTTACAACGAGATAGATTAAATTTTACGATGGGAAGCCTAGTGAGAACCCAGAATCATGTCTAAGCGTGCAGAACTTCAACTAAACATTCATGGGAGCATAGCAACAATGAGACGCTAGCAAGCAGCAATGTAAAAGGGTACCAGGGTAGTCAAAATAGCGGAATTGGAAACCCCCACAGCAGCAGTAAATGCTTTACACTTGCGACCAAACAGCGGGCATAACACAAACCCTCCACCTTCCTGGCCACGCCTGCCATAGGCATCTGAAAGCAATATGATGGCTGGAGAATCCATATCACGGTAATCTAGACACCAATGACGACTGCCACTCGTTGTCCGCACTTCAATACCGATCCATGTGACTCTCATGACCTAAAAACATCAAAGACTTTATCAGTATAAAAGAAACATTGTTTTAACATTACACAATACAAACTAAGTACAAGTACCCCTTTTCTAAACAAGATTCTGCAGAGCGTGTGCAAAACTCATTTGTACCGGTACGCTGGTGGTCTCTATCTGAGGGAACCACCGCCCCACTCAGTCCAGCCATAGACAATAAACAACTCGTCTCGGATCAATCGTAAGATAATTGATTAAACTCATTTTCGAAGACATAATGCGCAGAACATACTGTTCCACTAAACAGTTGTGAGGTACACAAAGAATGGCAAGGAAAGGCAAAGACAAAAAGAGAGGTTCGTACGAAAGAGCTCCAGTCTGATGCACGCCGTCTCAGATGAAGAACAGGAAAGTCTGAGCTCTCCGCAGCAGACGAAGGTACCCCAGGGAATCTTCTGAGTGACCTAAGATTGTGCAATTCCGTCAGAATTGCTGCTCGATACCTGCATTCAAAGTGATCGAACATCAGCACTAATAGTAGCAGTCCTCGTAAAAGTGATCAAACTTGAAGAAAAAAGAGGAAAAAGTGATGCCTAACAAAAGTACACCTGTCTGGGAAATGATTCCATGGGTAGATCGTCATAAATAATTCAGGATAACAAAGTGAATATTATCCAGATTAATCCCATTGTTTGCGTGCATACTTGTGCAAATTTGAGAAAGCCCCATGGTTTTGTTTTAGGGCGGTTTGATAAGAAAGGACCGTGAGGAGGCAAGAATTTGGTACCTAGAAGAGAATCGCATAGGCTTGAACTTCCCACGACCCTCGTTGCGGACATTGATGGTGAACTCGAGCGCATGCTGCTGGAGTGGATCCTCTCGCCCACCAGCAACAGGGGCTGCTCCTTCATAATCGATTGCAATGTCATACTCATTCGTGGTGGCCAGAGTGATAGGATCGAGGGTTAAGATCTGAGTGGTAGAGATGCACAATACGCGCTTGTACTTCCCACGCCAGGAGTGCTTGGTGACTGAGTATCTACAAATATATTCTGGTTCTTCCAGAGGATTGGGTGAAGGATGATTCAACGGAAGGTCTTGTTGATATGATGTTGAGACCCCAGCGCCCGATGGGGCCGTGCGGGCAGAGGAGAGGAGAAGTTGAGGCGTCTCCATGCCAAGGGCTTGGGGGTAATCATCCGCACGCTGCCAAAACCACAATATCCAGGGCTTCTGCTGCGCCGCAAGGCGGTTACCCGACTGACTTGCCCCCAAGGCTTCTCTGTAACGTGATTACTAGTTCTCAAAGAAGAACACATCCAGCTCAAGAAGCCACAAAAAGACGAACACGTCCACCCTATCCTACCCAAGACCTCGAATTGAAACTCGTAAGCAGATAAAAACAAAAAAAACAAAAAAAACAAAAAAAAAGGCGTTGAGCTAGACGGCAGCGAGGTTACCATGCCATTCACTTGATTTCTCAACCCTGCAATCCACACTTGAACAATTAGAATATTCTGGAGATCACTACTTCAGTTCCAAAGTGACCTAAACAAGAGGACGGTATTACAAGGCCAACTCTTCGACAATCAGAGCAATCCACTCCCACGCAATCCCTTCATGCTCATCTAATGAACACTAATGCACTAAATTCAGTGAACTTGATCGACTTCCAAAACCCATTCAAGCCCAAGAGCTTCTACAAACGGCCGCTCCGCCAGCTCTTCCAGCACTAAATGATCACCGAAACCTAAACCCCCACAAACCAGCACTAGCAGTGAACCCATAAAATACCCTCTATTTCGTGGATGAGGACTCCAATCTAAGAGCAAGCAACCTTCACTCACCTCCAAGGTTATAGCCAAATTCACGCGCTTCGTTTGCAGCACTCAGTCAATCACGCACCGAGAAATCGCTCCCAACCATGCTCGGTTCCTTCAATCCATTGCAAACGACAAACACAAACTCATCGATCCGATCGAACACACGTGGCAGCAACGACGCCCCGAAGAGACCAATCAATCAATCGACTGCTCTCAACCCGCTCCAACCCAGTTGATTAGTACAGCAATTCAAGCGCTGGAGTAGCAACCAAAGCCCAACAAATTGATGGAATTCGCATTGGCAACGATTCTAAGCAATGCACATGAATCTGACCGCACGGCAGGATCCTCAATCACGAGCCTACGTGTCAAAAAAAGCCGCAATTACAGGAAAGGGAGCAAGAGATGGGTCACCGAGAAGCGAGAGACAAATTGTGTTGTTTCCCTAGCCCTCCTCCTTGCTTGCTCCGCACTCTCGGCGCGGGTCGGGCTGGGCTGGGCTGGGTTCAGAGTTGGTGGAGCACCATCGCGCGGGAAATCGAACGCGAACGCTGGAAACCTCGACTTGCAACCGTGATCACTAGCCTCGCGGCTGCGTCAGTCGGTAGTGTGATATCCCTGTTCACACTTGGAGCTCAAAAACTAACTTGGATCGCAACCTGCAAGGCTTCTTTTGTTGCTCCAGCGTTGACTGTAAATCAGAAAATTGTCGGTAACATATCAGAATAAGGGGAGATGTATTTTGTGCAAATTTCTTGTGATGGCAGTAAATTGTGTTGTATTGCCTTGTACAAGGACTGTTGTACAAGGTGTTGATTGAATGCATAATCTCTACCATCTATTGAATTTTGATATTGGTTCTTGCTCCTAAAGAATTTTTAAGTTAAAATTAAACTATGATTGAGACCATTATCATATCAAGATTACAATACAATGTGTGATGTAGTTATGCTTTATTTGTGCAGTGTGCAATTGATTTAAAAAAGAAAAAAAGAAAAAAAAGAAATATATATATATATATATATATATATAATGATGAGCATGTTATTTTAATAAAATAGATAAATTAAATAATTTAATTTACTATATTTATCTAAATATAAAAAAAATTGACTAACCTATGTTTGACTGGAGTGTCAAAAATTCCATTGGTTAGAACAATAAGGTGGTAAAACTGAGTTATTGCCAAGTTACTCAGTTTATAGGACGAGCCAAGATGGGACAGGACAGGTTGGGCTAGTAGCAGTGATGGCTAGCTAAACCCGACCCGCACTTGGCTGTTGTGGTGCTATTTTTTTAATTGCAATAAAGGACATTATTTGGCTATCAACACATATAGTGTTTTATTTTTTTTTGTTTTCTTGATTGGCTGCCAAAAAAGTACTTCATGTTGGCAAAGCCAATGGTTTAACCACTAAAGTGTGTGTGTGTGTGTATATATATATATATATATATATATAGATGTGATTTATAAAAAACTTAGTATCAAAATGCATGAAATCATATATTTGATATAATTAAATTGTAAATTACATTATGAATAATGTTAAGATAAAAAGAACATCTATGTTTTGATTCCATTGCAAATATAAAGAGATAAATGTGTCTAAATTTTATCTAAGGATTAGAAGAGATCAAAATATTATATCATTTTCATTGTTATTAGTTGTTATTGTTGCAATAATAACAAGCTGATATTAATAATATACTATTTTTTAAAACTTTGTAATGTTGATATGTATTGTTAAATTTTAAACTAGATTAAAAGGCATGACATTGAAGAACATTGTAAGTTTAATTGTATAATAAAATTCACATGTTACATTCTATCATATTATACTCATACATCCTTTAAGTATGTTTTTATACATAGTTAAATTAGATATTTTAAATAGATACATGTTCGTAAACTAAAACAGTTGTTTGGTATGAAAAAGTTATTGGTTGAATTATAATACACAAGAACATTAGTATATATATTTTTATATTTTATAAAATATATCTTTTTAATTCTATTTTTATTCTTTTTTATTATAAACATAAATACAAATAAATCTTTTAAATCCTAGATAATTTAAATATTTAAGCCTTATTATATCTTCTTCTATTTTAAGATTTTAAATATTTTTTTATTCATTACTAAAATATGCTTCTTATTTAAATTTTTTAAAATAAATTTTATTATCTTATAACTTCTCTTAGCCAATAAATTTAGAATTTAGATTTTAGAATTCATCAAAAATAGTTAAATATAGTTATAATTGAGTATTACAATAAAATTATTATTTTTTATATAATTTTAAATTAAACAAATAGAGTGTTAATTATAATACTTATTTTGATGATAAATTATACTCCAAAGATATTATGGTTTTTTGAAGTCCTTTTAAATGAAATAATAGAATACTTTTTTTAGATTATTATAATCTATAGTATATTATACAATTCAAGAGATCATATATATATATATATATATAAATATATATATATATATATACATACATACATGATCATCTATCTTAAATAAAAGTTAAAAAAAATACTTCAAATTAATTGAAATATCATAAAATAACCATATCATAAATTCAAATTCAAAAAACAATAAGAAAGAAAAAAAGGAAAATTCACATGATATTTTTTTTTATGACTCATAATAGAATTTCTTGCAAAAATATAAGATATAAATTAAAATATTATATATATATATATATAATATAATATAATATTTTAATAAAAACTATAAAAAATAATGCTTATTAAAATATAAAACTATCTTGGAATATCTAATTAAATAATTGTAGTAATAATTTTTTTATATAATCATCAAAAAATTACATCTTTTAAATAAATAAATAAATAATAATATTAAAAGATCATATTGATATTTTAAATATGTATAGTAATATATTTTTATATTAAAGAAAAATATTATATTTACCAAAATATTTCTAGTAATTCTAATAATTGCTAGATTAGATAAGAATTCATATATGATCTTTTATCTAATATAAAAAACACATCAAGTAGAGTTTAAATCAATGGAATAAACTAAGGAGACAAATTGGCCTTTTGATTGGCTATTATTATAAGCTTATTTGAGGTAAGCCTTGTGCATAAAAATATGCCTTTAATAAAGTATGCAGTGGTCATATTTTTTTCTATTGTTTCTCTTGATGATTATGATGTTTATAATGTATTTACTAATTATGGTGTCTCCCTTGCTATAACTCCAATATTACTTGCACTTGCAATTTGAGCTCTCTGTGGCTTTTTGACTTGCACTTTATTAATTTTTAGGTAAGCATTGGTTTTTGGAAAATAGCCATGTCTATATAATTCTCTATATAAATCACATGATAGAATGACTTAGCACAATCCTTATTTTTTTTATAGTTAAACTTTAGGAGTAGTTTTTTTTTAAAAAAATTAATTAATTTTTTGCATATTTTTTATAACAATAGTACAAGTTCAACTAAATAATTGTTTTTATATAATTAAAATATAAATTATAATTTTATAAATTATAATTGTATAAATTATACGTAAATTTAGTTCTTAGAAATTCTTTAAAACTACATCTTTTTAAAGCTGATTATAGTTTTTGAAAAATAATATGTACAAATTATTAATAAAATATAAGATGTTTTATATAAGATAATATTAATTTAGTAATAAATGTAATAAAAGGCATAAAAATATATCTCACATATATAATAAATATTATCATTTTTAACTAAAATATGTTTAAAATTTACCTTATACATTGGTAAAAAATGAAGATTATTACAAGGTACACAAAAGACACATTGATACTAAAATTGTGAATTAATAGTGAGAATATTAATTTTCATGGTTATTGTGATGAAAATTGGACTAAAAATACAAATGATTGTAGTTCTATTGTAAAATATATGTTCTCTATGGGAGTGAAAGCTATTTTATAAAATTACAAGATATAACCACAAATTACATAATATGATGGAAATAAAGTATATAGTAACAAGATATTTTATAGTGAAAGTAATTTGTGGATGAAAACCTTTAGAAAAATTAAACTTGTGTAAATACATTAAACTCTAATTATGTGAAAAAATCAATAGTTTATTGCATTCACAAAGAATCCAAAACACCATTCACAAACCAAACATATTGATGTCTAATACTACTTTATTTGTAAAAAAATTATAGATAGAAAAATAAATATAAATATTATTTTAAGAATTTATAATTTCTTTTGTATTTAATAAAAATCTTAGAAAAAAATAATAAACATCAAAAACATCGGAAATCAAAAAATGTATCCATGTTGTAATATTTCAATTGCTTACAAAGTGTAAATATTAAAGATGATATTATATTACAATAAATAATGTAGAATCCAACGTAGTTAAGAGTTAGATGCTTTCATAATATATATTATTTATAGATAAATAACAAGTAGCATCTAAAATTTAGATGATGGTTAAAATAAATAGTAGGTAAGAATTTAAAAGGATTGCATCAAAAATAAGTTTATCCATATTGGTTCTAGTAGCAACTAATTACAAAAAAAATAGTCTTATTAATAAAAATGTGTTATAGAAGTTATTTCTCAAAGGGTGTATATTGTATTATTGATAAATATTATAATATAATTAAAAAAAATTAAGAAGATAAAATGATATTTAAGTTCAACAAAATAAGATTAATTTTTTTATAAAAATATAATAGCAACAAAAGTGAGAATAAAAATTTAAATCCTAACTATAGTAGGAAAAAAAAAAGTGTAATACTATTATAAATACTATTGAAAGTTAAATTTAGAAAAAATGATAAAAATACAATAAACTAAATGAAAATCTCACATTATATATGTGAGATTGGTCAATGTCTATGTAAATTGTGAACTTTGATCTTTGTGTAAACTTTATTTTTTTAATATATTGTAAGAAATTTCAATAATGATTATTGGAAGATCGAAATTTTAGTAGGTTGGAAAATATTTCTTATATAAAATAGCTCAAGGAAGAACAAAGACATGAAATAAACAAGAAGAGATAAAAATCCTTGGTGATTGGTTGCATGCATCATTGTTTTGATCTAAAGTGAAGCAAAAGTAGAGTTTATAGTGATAGTGATAGATGTTGTCAAGAAAGAGCTTAGTTGTTTCTTCACCTTTGATAGATTTTGTACATAGTACAAAATGTGCCATCTTAGTAAAACGATCTATTATCACAAATATAGAGTCATAAGAACTTGAGATTGAAAGATCCATGATGAAATCCATAGAAACAGAAGTTCATGGTTGTTCTGAAATAGATAATGGTTGAGGAAGTCTGTAAGGTCAATGATGAGGAATTTTTCATCTTGAACAAATGTCGCATGACTAAACAAAGTCTTTCACATCCTTCTACATTTATGGCCACCAAAAATCT